TACCAAGCTATGATGCCCCAAAATTTAGGGGTCATTTCTCAACTTATTGATCACCCATTAACTTGTAGAATACCCCTGGATACTGTATAACCCGATGACAAAGTCACCTTCATACGGAAGCTCTACCCAATACATAACACGTGCATGCAGTAATCATATGACCATTCCAAGGTTCACATCCCAAAATCTAGGATTTAAAATTTAACCATTTACATCATCCAAAGAAAAAAGCTCAAGATATGAAGGCTCGAAAGTGTTGAACTTCAAAAATAAATTTTTGGGAAGAGGTATCGGTACGTCTAATAAGGAGTACCAGTACCTGAACCCTCTGAAAGCCAAGCACCAGTACCTATAAGACTTGGTACCGGTACTTGGGTTGTCTGTCATCGAGGTATTGGTACCTGTGAGGTACCAGTACCTAGGGCCCAAATTTTTCCAGATTTTCCAAATTTCAATTTTTAACCCTTCAAACTCATACAACATCCATTAAATTCATTTATTTACAAAAGAATATTGTCCAAGAGAGTCACATTACATGTCTTGGCCAAAGTACAAGTTTTGTGCATAATTCATACAAGGTCAATATAGAAATATACAAGGACTACAAAAGGTAATTCAAGAGCCATAGTTGGCTCTATCGTCAACCACGGGCCCAAGTGAGGGCCGTCCATTGGAGCTTGTCCAACACCTAAAATGCATCCTTATAAAGGGTGAGTCATGCTCAATTAGGTATCTCCTAAGGAGGTCACTGATGAGCGCATAATATTGCATACTTAACGGCCTCATTACCTACATTTTAACTCAACTTTTGCATCTAAGTACTTAGAGTTAGCCGAAATTATGAATAATGTTGAATTTTCGATGTTGCAGGTAATTATAGTGTAAATTATGTATCTTAGAACCTTGCAACCATGTGTGGATGAGTGGTGAAGATATGGACACATTACATGAGGATTTGGAGGCTTAAGAGTGAAAGAAATCAAGGAGGTATTGGTGTTTGGTAACATAGGCATCAGCACCCACACCATTTTGTAGCGGTACTTCGGTTTTCCTCCTTTGTGACCATGATCCACTTCGAATCTGAAAAAGTACAAAACATGAAAGTTTTAGATCTAGATGTCTTCTGTATTTTGTCAACATTTCAGCTCAATCGGACGGTTGGATCCAAATTTATGATGATTCTATGAACACTAGTCCAGAGTAGAAGAGTACCGGTATGGTTCAGCCATTGGGGTTCAGGGTACCAGTATGCAGTATTGGTATGCTCTGCTGAATGCCAAAAAATACCTAAAAATCATGCACCACTTTCTTGGGGGTCCCACTTTTGATTCTCCCACTTGTCCCCTGACTTCCCTTACACATTTACATGTCTCCTACACCCTAGATGAAGAATTTGGAGGCAAGGACATTAATGGGGATGAGAGAGAAGGAGGCAGCCATGATGGGTGCAGGCTAAGCCATTCCTAGCCTATCAAAAGCCATCCACTCACCTCTCATTGATGGGAGGCCTACACACACATGCTAGGGACCACCATGGACGAAAATGCAATGCTCACACTCCATATATTCAGCATTCACAAGCCATTGAGGGGGTGGCTACCTAAGCTTAGAAAGCTCCAAGGAGGAAGATGATGAATAGTAGATAGAAACCTTGGATTTTTGCATTTTCTTCCATCGTTTCACTTGTAATTTATTGTAAGACTCTTGTAAGCTTCTTTATTTACTTTCAATGTCATTTATTTCAAGTGCATTACAAGTTTAGTTGAGTATCTTAGTTTCTATCATTGTTGTCTTAAATTTTCTTCATTTCAAGTTTTAAACTGGGTATTGAATGTTTTTCTTCATAGTTTAAGATTTTTTGCTTTAAGTTAAGTTTCATGTTTCCTTTCTTCATTATGTCTCTTTACATTATGCATTTTTTTCTTACTTTCATGAGTAGCTAGATTTTAAGTTGGCTAATCCAAGGGAGACCTCCTCTTGGGCATGCCATTCCAACTCATGTTCTTTCCTCCTCGGTGTATGATGGTTCGGTTTGACTGGGTTGGGGTGAGGATATGGTTGTGAGTTCTTGATACACCGTAGGCCTGGTCACGGTGTATGCTTGAATCTTCACCTCCATTTTAGTCCCGAGTTTCCCACAAATCAATTGTTCATCTATGCACCATTAGAGGAAGGTTTCGAGTTGATTTGGTATTCCCATTGGAATGAACTCTTAGGATTAGCCAACACTTGTTGTCTTGCATTTTCATTAAGAACAAAACTCACCAAAACCAACTACAAGATTTTACATTTGACGTTTTCACAAAATCACCTTCACACACTTGAACTTTCCTTCCCTGAGGAGACGACCTTGGAATACTTTTCCAAGTAAAACAAGACATTCAAAAGACTCCTTGCACTTGGGGAGCACTTTTGTTCACAACATTACACACATTTTGTACATTTTATATTCCACCATTCCGTTGCCCCTTTCCCCCCATCATTCCTAGGGAGAGTGACACTCCCCTATTCCTATAAGCCATACACATTCAGGGATGATGTTTAGAGCTTAGGAACAACAACGGAAACTATCAAGCAGTCACTCCCCAATATAGATGCATATGAAATGTCACATGCAAATCATCATGTCAAATATTCATTCAAACACATAAATTTCATAAATGAATGCCACAATTCCATGTCATGCCATGAGATGAGAACCCAAGCATGCAATACAACCTGAGCTCCATCGGCTCCCATAACACATGCTATGTCATGCGTATGTATTCGGACATTCCAAGACCCCGCCATTGATGTTAGACATCCAATGACTATTTTATAAAATCTTGTGTCTTTCTTGGATAGGTAATTTATAGACATCACACCAACGGGTTACCAAATCGACACAGTATTTGAGGGCATCCCACCTTCGATTTTGAGTACACCGACACACTTTTTTGGAATTTCACTGCTGGATAAGTGAGTGAACCAAGTAACCGGGCCTTGAACCCAAGAGAGAATCTATCCCTTTTTGCTATACTGACACGTATTTTGAATGTAAACCTATGCGACACAGTCGAACCTAGGTCCAACTTTCTCGAGTCCACATATCAACCCACCAAGGATGATGTTTGATTAAAAACATGCACACACCCCCACATTCATACCAATGCCCATAAATGTAGTGCAACCCGTGCACATGCAATGTAATATACATTTTCCATTTCCAATTCATCATAAGCTAACTATGACATGTAAGAATGTGACAGTATCCCATAAACATCAAAATGTCTATTATGTCATGAAGCATATAATAACATTTCATAACATCATCAAACATGTTATAACATTTTTCATTCAAATAACACACTTGAACATCCAAAAGCATTTTATCAAACACTTAGTAGGGAAACACATATAACCACATAGCATGTCCAACAATCCATTTCATCAAATCTAAGTCAAGCAATTTCATCAAACTCAAATCAAGTAAGAATTGATTTTAACACATTTTAATATTCATTTTCCATATTCTAGCTACACTAGGTGTGTGCTATACATGAGAATTCATCTTGATCATCCTACCCATTTCATATGACAACCATAGGTTAAAAATAAAACTAGATAGGAGGGAACCCTCCCTCTTATAGCTTATGTCCACGTAGTAGAAGCCTCAAAATCCCAAATTAGGCCTTCCAAGCTTTATCTTGAAATTGCCATCTTTGAGATTTTGGAGAAAATCATGATCTTTAATATGGTTGTGTAGCTCTCGTTGCGTAGAACGACTTTAACTTTTGGCCCGAAGCGATCCAACGGTTGAATCTTGGTGGATCAAGGAAGATGGAAAAACATTGAGATTTTCTCTCTCTCTCTCTCTCTCTCTCTCTCTCTCTTTTCCAAAATTTTCAGACAATGAATGGGGGGAAAATCTAATTTTTTTCCCTTTAAATACTCCTTGAATGCTTGGCCCACAATGCGTGGCACGTGTCGATTTATCTAATCTAATTTTATTTTAAATCAATTAAATATAACCACGTGTTAAGTTTAGTATATTTTTATTGAACTAACTTTAAATTATTTCTCGGGTTTTGAGAATAAAATTTGATCGTGTTTATTTTAATCGCGCGATGCCCGATTGTATCGTAAAACATGAAAAATTTGACTATCTCATAATTCAACTAAAATTGACTAGGTAGCTAGATTTCATGATACAAATCCAATAGTGAGGTCTTTTCATCATCCGAATTCTAGAAAATTTTAGATTTGTAACCCGCACCGTAACGACTAATTACCGTTTTACCCTTTTTAATTAATTTTTAATGTTTTCGGGTTTTACAGTTTCACTACAAAAGTAAGCTTTTAATATATTACTCTATAACTTGCAAGGATTGGTTGGATTATTATGTGTTTGTGGGTTAGGATATACTCAATGTGTGGATTTATGCTAGTCTATCTATGTACATGAGATATAAAGCTTTTGATTACCTATTGTTTTGAGAATGAGTGTTAACTCTCATTGAACTTTACTATTTTGTACCGTAAACTTGAGATCTCTTTAACTGTCACTATTTTACTTCAGATTATGATATGTTATTTTATTAACTAAGACTTACCTATTTTATTATTTTGAAACCTTGTTTGGGTTGAGAAAGTTTCCTACTGAACTTGTTTGCTCACCTTACGATAAACAGTTTTCAAATTTTGACCTTGAAGAAGATATAATCTTAGGTGAGTAGATTGACTTTGAGGTCGAAGCAAATCAAGTTGTGGATATGGACTTTGAGGCTTAGAGAGTGCCTAACTATTTTAAATTTCTGAAGTTTGGTAATTAGACAATGTTTGAGAATATTTACTTATTAGCTAGTTCCAAGATATTATTCTAGTTTTTGGATGTAATCTTAAGGAGTTATTTATGTTTGATTTGAGATTTTTTTAGTTAATAATTAGAATTTTAATGATTTATTCAGTATGTTTTCATGGTTTGGATGGTTCATAGTTACGTCATGCCTTTGAATGTGAAATTAGGGCATGACAACGAGATCCAGAGGAAGGATCACTCCCTTGGCTTTGCCAACGACAACATTCACATCAACCACAACAAAGTTTTTCATGGTAATCCTTCTGCCTTTGGCCTTCAGAACAGGGCAAAAAGGAGAAATCACTTCCTCGCCTTGATTGGATTCACTAATCTCCACGGCTTTCCTCTTCTTGACGGTGTGTTTTTGCCACTCTGACAACTCAGGAGGAGATTCGGCCTTGGGGGAAATGGTAGCCACACCTTCAGAAGCCTCATCGCCCAGGGTATCTATTGCTCTAAACTGGTTGACAGTGGGAGCAATGACCGGATGTCCATCCAGTATCGGTATCAGCTCAGCCTCAGTTACAAATGGACGAATGGGGTTACGAGGAGGAGAAGGACCTTAAGTGGCAAAGGGAGTTTGGGAAGCAGGAGCAGTCAAGATAACACTTGGGGATGCATTAGAGTAACTGAAGACGAGGTCAATAAAGTTTTTTACCGCCCCGCCTCAGCCATAAATGATGAACTTTTGGTAGGACCTTGAGGTAGAAGCTCTAAGGATGTTAAGTGCTTCTCGATCTTTGGTCAGGTGAGTGTTAGGCCTATCTAGGACAGCTTTGAAAGAGCGTTAGGCTTATCAAAGCATAAGAGGGTCTCTGTGAGACCCTGTCATACATCACATTGCATTTAAATAATATTGGGGGTCAAAATATAATTTTGAAAGTTGTTAGAAGGATGTTAAGTGGTAATTTAATATATTAATGTTTTTTGGGAAAAAAATAGATTAAGTGATACCAGGGTTAAATTGCAACAATCAAAACAACATTGACTTAATTTGGTGTAGCAACAAAATTTTGATCATTGACTATGAGATGTTTATGATGGATCAAATGAGAGTTATGAAATATATATATACTAGTCATAACCTCGTGCCTGAAGACACGATAAAATATAAAATTTGAGCGTCCAAAAAATCGATCTCATTATATTAAATTGTTTTTAAATATATTAAATACAATTAATTAAATATTAAATAATTAAATATATGATAGAAATAAGTAGTGTGATATTTTTAGGGAGGAAATATATAATGATTAAATATATGATAGAAATAAGTAATGTGATTTGACGTTTGAGTCTGACAAATGGATGATAGGTGAGATAAGTGATTGGTGATGGTTTTGAGGGGAAAAATATGACTAGGATAAAATTCAAACACACTCCTGTTTTATTATATAGATTTATATATATATATATATATATATATATATATATATTAAAATGCAATTTTTGAATTTTATGGTATTTACGGAACTATCATTGCATGGTAGCCACCTCCAAGCAACTTGATGTTCAGGTTGGGGCTTCTCCACCCCTCCTTATCCATCTAGAATGCTTGAGGAGGTGGTGAAGGCTTCAACTGAGGCTTGAATATGTTAGAATCGTTAAGAAGAAAGAGAAAGAGATGAGAGAAGTTAGAGAGAGAAAGCGAAAGCTTGGACAACCAAACTTTGGTAGAGGCTTATTCGAGATACAAGGGGTATAATTCTTAAATAATGAGGACCCTAGGAGTTCATATTTGGTGTTTAAATCGTGTTTCATACGTTGTAGAAGCATGAATTCATGTTTTGAATTTTTCCGGTTTTAATAAGTTTGATTTTCTATTGAGTTTTGGTTTGATTCTTGGTTTGTAAATGATTTCTAGGTGTTTGAGATGACGTTTAGAGGTGGTTTGAAGTGTGGTTGTGGTCAATGGTGGTGGTTCGAAGAAGAGGAAGTTTATGGTGAGAGTTTGAGTTTTTGAAAATTAAAGCTTTGAATCTTGAGTTTTAAAAATATAAGGGTATTGGGCTAGACTAAAACCAACCCTAGGAATCCATTGGTGACCTCAAAAATTGATTTAGATTTCATTTGGTGGGTGAAAAAGGCAGTTGCAGGACTTACCCCGAGTTGGAAAGCCTTATTTTTTTCAAAGTTAGGTTCAATGTTTGGATGGGTTAGAGTTTGATTCGAAGGAGCTCACCTATGGGGATCTGAAAAGGGCCATGAGGAGAGTACATAGATTCTAAAAAATAGGTCTAAAGGTGTTTTTTGAAGTAAGTTATAAGGATGAGAATAGGGGATCTTAAAACAGAATTTTGACACTTGGGACTCTTGAGGAAGAAGATGAACTAGACCAAGAGGACCACTGGACACCCCGATGGAGAGTGAGGACACGTCTGGTGTCCGAACTATCTCTAGTAAGTGCCAAAAGTTCTGTAACGTCTGTGCGGAGGTCCCGATAAAATTTCAAGTTGATCCGACGGCCAGATCAAAGTGAAGATTAAAATGACTATTTTTGGCTTTTGAGGCCAATTTGACCCAGTTTTGGGGTGTTTTTTGGAAAATAAATTTTATATTCATTCTTAAGTAGTTTAATTGAGTATGTGTATGAAATTTCATTTAAAAAATAACATTGTTTTATTTTTGGCTGTTTCGAATCAAAAAGCAACGCAAAGTAGGGTTCTCTCAATTCCGAATCAGTCGAAGCTTGTCAAATTCATTTTGAAATCATGTCTTACATAATTTATGAATTTTTAACATATTTTTAAACTTATGATTGGGTTTTTTTGAATTTGGACTGAAAATTACAGATCTAGATTAGGATTTTGAGTGCAATAACGCACAGTTGTCTGAAACGAATGATTTGACTATATGGAATGAGATACCATAATCCTTTTAAACTAAACCTTAGTGCACACAGGTCAAGTGACAAAAGGGTTTACATGCCAATTTGAGGCCGTAAAGGGTACTCATTGAGTTTGTAAACGCTTGGGTGACCTAGTTAGTTTTCGAACATGGGTGCTGGTGTAAAACCCGGTAAATTTAAACTTTTTATAAAAAAGGGCAAAACGGTAATTTATAATTACAGTACGAGTTGAAAACCTGAATTTTTCTAGATCTTGGATGATGAGACAGGCCTCACCGTTGGATTCGTCTCACGAAATCTAGTTATCCTGTCAAATTTCATCGAATTTCGAAATAGTCAAAATTTTTGCGTTTTACAAGGCGGTTGAGTTTAGGGTGACCCAAAAACGGGATTTTTGAAAAAATTTCAAAAGTTGGGAATTAATTAAATTTAATTTAAAATAAAAATATTTTGAACTTGAATCAGACAAAATTTAATCGTTTCGGGGCGAAAACGGACCTGAGAAAAATAGGGCTGTGTGGCGCGTTGTGGGCCAAGTATCGAGAAATATAAATAGGGAGAAAAATCTGAATTTTTCCCCCACAAACACACTCAGCCGTTACCCGATAGAGAGGAGAAGGAAAAGAGAGAGCTTCTCCACCTTCTCTCTACGATTTACGACTCCACGGTGCTCGGATCCACTCCGGCCAAGAAGAAAAGTTGTTCTTCTCGATGTGGGCTACAAAACCATACCAAGGAGGTCTATTTTGGATGAGATTCCAAGGACAAGATTTTTTGGAGGAGAAGATTCTAGCTAGAAGCGGGTTCTTGGGACTTCCTACGATCGTTCCTTACACTTCAAGAGGTAGGGTTCCTTCCTACTTGGGTTTATTTTACAACCTAGGGTGTTGTATGTAATGGGTAGGTTGATAGAGATATATATCACTTGCCTATGGATGTGAAATTGATGGAAATTAATGAAATGGGTATGGAAAAGGTTTAACAAATGAATTCCTAGCTTTGAATTGATATATGTGGTGATTGCGTGTGTGATTCCATGGAATTTGGTACCCTGGGGTTATGTGAATTTTCCCTAAAGTGATTCATGAAAAATTTGTATTATGTGAGCATGCTATGTGTTTAGTTTATGCTTTGAAAATTATGTGTGTTATTGGCATATATGAAATAACATGCTTATGGATTATGGTTGGATATGAACATGTTGATATATGCTTTTTGATATATTAACATTAAGATAAAATTTGGCTATTATATGCATATGATATGAGTGGCCTTGAAATATGAAAATATATGTTAAAGTCGCTCATATAGCATTCTTTACATATAGGCACAATATGGATTAGGCAATGGTGCATTACATTGCATTTGCACGGGAGCATCACATCCTTGGGCATGAGACATGGGTGTGGGTATGGGTGAGTACATGGGTTGGTCAAACACCAAACTTGGTGGTTGACGAGTGGGCTCGAGAAAGTTGGATTGAATATTCAGCTAAGTCGCATAGTTACATGAAAAAGAATTGGGTCGGGGTTAGCAAGAAGGGCTAAACTATCCCTCAGGTGAGAGGCCCAGTGTTCGGATACACACTTCCGTTGGTATAAAAGCCCATATAGTGTGTCGGTGTACGCAGAACCGTTGGTGGAAGTCCATGAATTTCGTGTCGGTTGGGTGACCGTTGGTGTAAGTCCATAAATACCCACCCCAAGAAAGACCCGGAGATTTTAAATAGTCATTGTGTGTGTAACACAAATGGCGGGGGCTTGAAAAGCCCAATTTTGATACTCATTGCATAGCATGGGGTAAAGGTAAACGGTCGAAGCTAGAAAAGCTCGAATTTATACATATTGGCATTGCATGTGTTGTGGAGCCGGGAAGGGCTCAGGTGAATTGCATGAATGGGTATCATTTCATTTTATGGCATAACATGTTAGATTCCAACTTTGATTTGCTTAAATCTTGGGTGGAATGATTGTTGTTGGAAAATGTTGCATGTGAACATTGCATATGCACTTAGGTTGGGGAGTAGCCTCTGTAGAAAATACTCTACTAGGCGTAGCTCACCCTATACGGAAACACATTTCAGGTGCAAGGTACATTCCAGTGGATGACACTCATTCGGGCCTCGAGGGTGATGAAAAGCCAGCCTGTGGCTTTTGAAATCAACTTTTGTAAAACTTTCGTTAAAATTCCATTCTGAAGTGTAATCGTATGGATTTGTTGTAATAGGACTTGTATATATATTAGATTTTTTGAGGAAAACATTGTTAAACATGTTTTAGAAGGAATTGTGGTGATTTGGAATGAATTGGAAATGAATAAGGAAGGAATTGCAGAAAAATAGGCAAAACCTTCCGGAAGGTAGATGACAACCTTCCGGAAGGTTAATGTAAATTTTTATCTAGCAAGCAAAACCTTCCGGAAGGTTAATGTAAATTGTTATCCAGTAGGCAAAACGTTCCGGAAGCTTGATGAAAACATTCCGGAAGAACTTTTCCATTAAGTAAAACCTTCTGGAAGGTCGAGCAAAAACCTTCCGGAAGGTTTTTCAAAAATCTGAAATTTTAAGAATATTTTACCATGCTTTTGGACTATGTGTTCCCTCATTCAAATGATGTCAATGGACCATAATAGAGTATAAATTGTGATGTGTTAGACCTTGGATGGGTCTAGTGACTACGATGTACATAGGTTAAGCAATTGGGAGTTCCCAGTC